TCAGGCTCCGGGTCCCGGGCACCTCGGGCTGCCCATTCATCCAGATCTCCCTGATGATGCGCTCCCGCTCCTCCAGCCGCTGCGCGCGCTCCAGCTCCTCCGCCGACGTGAAGACGTTCTTGTTCAAAGTCCTCTCGAAGCGGCGGTGTCTGCGGACCGAGATGTCAGAGCTGCCATCGTCGCTGTCGCTGCTGTCGCTGCTGTCACTGCTGCTCTCCTGGTCCGGCAGGAACTTCTTCCGGGAACGCGACCGCCGCCGACAGTCCACGCGGCAGGACAGCCTCATCACCAGCGCAGCCAGGGTGAGGACCAGCCCGAGGCACACGCCCGACACGAAGTACAGCGCTGCTCGCTCGGGGTTTTCTGGAGGGGGAGAGAGAAGAGAGCGTTGGAGAGATGGCAGCTCCAGCCCGCCCTGTACACCTCTCACCAGACCCCAAAGCGTCGAGAGTTACAAAGACTGCCTTCCCGCTTGACAAAATTCATAATGTATTAAAAATATAAGTATCCACCAATGAGGAATCTGGGCAAAGAGTGTATGAGTTTCTTTTCCTATTCTTGCAACTTTCAAGTTGAAATTATTTCAAAAAGTTAAAGGAAAGAAATATATGTAACACCACGATAAGGAAGCTACTGTGCTTAGATATCATTTCATGAAGAGGTGTACCTAACTTTTATTTTAGCCTATACTAGAAAAATCTTTGCCTTTGAATTTACTCCTGCAACCCCTTGAATAACCTAATAATCACATTTTGGGCCTTCTTCTTTCTTCTCCCCCTCCTTCATCCTTCTCCTTTTCCTCCTCCCCTACACCCCCTCCTCTTTTTTTGATGGGAAATCTATACTAATAAAAGCCTAGGTGGCCCTCTTGCCCTTGTGGGAGGCCCTCACGTCATCACAAGATGGCCGCCCCACAGCATCACAATATGGCCACCACAAGATGGCCACCACAAGATGACCATCACAGATAGCTGCCACAAGATGGCCGGCAGGGGAGGGAAGTTGGGGGCTATGGTGGCAGGGGAGCAGTTAGGTGTCAATCAGACTGGCAGGGGAGAGGTTAGTGGGCGATCAAGCTGGCAGGCAGAAGTGGTTAGGGGCAATCAGGCAGGCAAACAGGTGAGTGGTCAGGAGCCAGCAGTCCCGGATTGTGAGAAGGATGTCCGACTGCTGGTTTAGGCCTGATCCCGCAGTCAGACATCCCCCGAGGGGTCTCAGATTGGAGAAGGTGAAGGCTGGGCTGAGGGACACCCCCCCCCCCCTCGCACAAATTTTGTGCACCAAGCCTCTAGTTTATAAATAAAGGCAAGGTCAAACTATCTTATTTATTCTGAATATAGCATCACAGGCCTTGTCAACAAGTGTAGGCAGCTTCCAAGATGCCCCCCACCTGTTGGTATTCCACTTATGCTAGCACCTCTCTTTGAGGGTTGGACCTAGTGGGCTAGACCCAGTGACTTCCTTCCAATAAGTAGAAAATAGCAAACATGATGGGTGAATCTAAGATAAGGTGACATAAGGCTAACTTCCAGTTCACTCGTGCTCTTTCTCTGACTTTTCTTAGCTGCTCACCCTGATGAAGCCAGCTGCCATGCTGCAAGCTGCCCGACAGAAGCCCACAAAGCGAGGAACTAAGTTTGGACTCTGGCTAACAGCCTGCAAAGAACCGAATCATGTCAACAGCCACGTCAGTGAGCTTAGAAGTGAATCCCCTAGTGGAGTCTTGAGGTGGCCACAGCCCTGGCCTTGAAAGCAGCCTGGTGGGAGACCTTGAACCAGAGAACCCGCCAAGCCAAACCCAGATCCCTGACCCACAGACACTGAGAGATGTATGTTGCTTTAAGTCATTAAGTTTTGAGGTCATTTTCCGTGCATTAATAGATAATTTATACAATCACGTATTGAAAGCCAGTGTAGGCATTTTGGAATGACCTCAACAGGTTAATTTGCAGAGGAGGAATCTGAGTCCTTCTTTGGTGAGAAAAGAAAATAATCATCTTATAGATAAGCAATGGGTTTAGTGCATTCAGTGATAATCGCTATATGATGTGCTCCACAGAATGAGAGCCTTTGAGTGAACAGCTTTCCCATTCTAGGTAAGTATGAGAACATGGGACATGCCTGGCCTTGAGTAAGAGGGCATGGTCAATCTGACAGGACCTACAACTGACACCAGCAATTAAGTTTCCCAAAATCCATATCCATTAGTAATTATGAATTAAAAGATACAGTGTTTTGCAGGGTTTTTAAGACTCTAAATGGGATAATATGTGATATACATTTGCTTTCTAAATTTAAGAATGTTTCTTATAGAGATTTCCAGACACATCAACAGCACTTTTTTAAACTTTTTTTCATCCTCACCCGAGGATATGTTTATTGATTTTTAGAGAGAGAGGATGGAAGTGTGAGAGAGAGATCAACGTGAGAGAGAAATATCAATCGGTTGCTCCAGTACACGCCCTGACCGGGGATCGAACCTTTTGGTGTAAGGGACAACTCTCAAACCAACTGTGCTGCCCCACCAGGGCAGCATTCTTTTTGCTTGCTGCAATGATGTTCTGTTAATGTAATCATTTTCTTATTGTTTCAGATTTTTCACTATTATGATCAATGCTCCAAGGAGTCAACATCCTTGTATACATCTCTTTATGTACAAGCAGAATTATTTCTACAGGTTAGTTATCTAGAAATAGCTGCATCAAAGGGCATAAGCATTTCAAAGTTTTATGCTTTCTAAACTGCACCCAAAAAGGCTCTATCAGCCTAAACACAGCATAGTAAACATACGTGAAATCCCCACCAAATGATAGGAATGTAAATAAAATAAATAAAAATTATAGGTACAAAGAGAAGAGTAGATTATAAAGTAGAAAACATTGTCAATACAGAAACTTGATCTATAGCACCACCTTCTGGAAAATAAAAGAATGGTTTCCAGCAACCTGCCAGGTGAGTTGTAGAAAGCAGAAAAGACATAAAAGCTTAAGAATTTTGCTACCAGAAGAAGCAAGAAGTGCAGAACAGGTGTACAAATACAAGGTCAGAGAGTACTCCAGATATAACAGGATCAACAAAGAGTGTACCCCATGTGAAGACAAGTAGTAAAGATTTGAGGAGGAGTCCATTACATCAAAGGCAAAATCAGCAATGCAAAACTAAGAAACATGAAGAATAAATAAAACACATCATCACCAAAAGATAATAATCTTCCAAATAACCAAGCTCAAAACATAGAATCTTGCAATCTAGTGAATAAAAAATTTAATAGTTGTTTTGAGGGAACAATGAAAGACAAACACAAAAGACAATTCAACAAAATCAGGAAAAGAAAATACATGAACAAAATGAGAAGTTTATCAAAGAGATAGAAACTTTAGAAAAGAACCAAACAGAAATTCTGGAGCTGAAAAATTCAATGATTGAAAAAAATTCAATACAGGGAATCTGCAGCAGAATAAATCAAATGGAAGACAGAATAAGCAATCTACACGATAGAAACCTTGAAATAACCAAATTAGAGGTGAAGGGGGGGGGGAGTTCGTCTTATAAATATTAACATAATTTATGTTCCAGAAAAAGAAAAGAGGATGAAGTAGTCAGGAAGTTTATTTAAAGAAGTAGTAGCTGAGAACTTCCCAAACCTGGGGAGAGCCTTAGCTATCCCAGTTCCCAAAGCTAATAGATCACCCTTCTACCTCAATGCAAAAAGACCTTCTCCAAGATACATTATAATGAAACTGTCAAAAATCAAAGAAAAAGAAAGAATCCTGAAAGTAGCCGAGAAAATATTGCAACCTCCAAAGGAACCCCCATTAGGCTGTCCACAAATTTCTCAGCAGAAACCCTTCAAGCTAGGAAAGTAGAATGACATATTCAAAGTGTTAAAAGAAAATAGTTGTCAGCCAAGAATACTCTATCTGGAAAAGCTATCCAGATCTGAAGGAGAAATACTTTATCCAGAGAAACAAAAGCTGAGGGAGTTCATCACAAGAAATGCTGAAAGTTCTTCAAGCTGAAATTTAAAAATGCTAATTAGTGACATAAAAATATATGAAATTATACAACACACTGGTAAAGGTAAATATACAGTCAGACTTAGAAAACTCTAGTTCTGTAATAGGAGAGTGTGTGAGCCACTTAACTATAAGATAAAGGTTAAAGGAAAAGAGTAATAAAAATAACTCTAACTACTATAATCTGTTAATAAATATACAATATAAAAAGAGGTAAATTGTGATAGCAAAAATATAAAGAGGGAAGTAAAAGGGTGGAACTTTTGTTTATGCAATTGAAAGCTTTCACCAATGCGTATGATGTCAGCTGTGGGTTTGGCATTTATGATTTTATTATATTGTGGTATGTTCCTTTCATACCTAATTTGTTGAGGGTTTTATCATCAAAAGATGCTGTAGTTTGTCAAATGCCTTTTCTACCTCTATTGAGATGATCAAGGACAAAGAAGATGAAATCGCTATCTCAAAGAGACACCTGCATTCATTCACATATTCATGGCAGCATTAATCACAACAACCAACACATAGAAACAGCCTAAATGTCCGTCAGCAGAAGAATAAAGAAAGAAAAATCAGCCATAAAAAGGAAAAAATTCTGCCATTTGCAACAACATAAATGGATTTGGAGTGCATTATGCTAAAATTGAGATAAATTAGCAAATACAAATACTGTATCATATCACTGATATGTGGATTAAAAAGTTAAACTCATAACAGAGTAGAATGCTGATTCCCAGGGGCTGTGGTGCAGGAGAATTGAGGAGATGTTTAAGGGTACAAATTTGCAATTAGTAGGTAAGTCCTAGAGATCTAATGCATAGCGTAGTGATTACAGACAACAATATTGTATTACAGACTTCAAAGTTGCTAAGAGAGTAAGTAGGTCTTAATTGTTCTAGCACAAAACAGTGATAATAACTGTGTGACATGCTAGAGGTGTTTGCTAATGTGACGATGGGACTCATATTGCAATGAAGGAGGCTGAAACTGACTCTGCCCACTTGATACTCAGTGAACACTGGGAGGATCAGAGAGCTCTTGCCTAGAGGAACTTAACATTCCAGCAGGGAAGTGACCCATTGGTTCCAGCACCAGAGAAAGTGCTGCAATAGGAGCATGAAGAAGGATCTCTGAAAACACAAAAGTGAGTAAAAAAGTGAAGTGGAGATATGGAGCTCTGAGAGGGCTTTCTAGAAAAGATTTGCAAACCCATGCTTTGACCAGAGTGGAAAACCACCAGGCAGACCGGCATTTGAAGCTTTAGCTCAGCCTCAACTTTCAGACAAAAATAACACTACCTACCTAGCCT